TCACACCCAATCACATCACTGCATTCCAAGGAGGTGAGCCGTTGAAACCCCTGAACCCCCCCCTTTTTCCCAAAACCCACTCACCCCGGCAGTTAAAGCCCTTATAACGCCAAAAAAATTTCCCTATTGTTAGTCCTCTAATAACCTTCAGAAAAATACTCTTCCCACCTTTCCCAAAAATGTCTCTGTTGCGACACAAAGTTCGATAAAACGTCGCCCCCAAAGTCCTTTCTCAGCACATCCCCACCCACCTTCCCCTCATACCCCATAAAACATATATGTAGTCCACGATGACATATGTCAAACCTCTTACCACACTCTCCTCCACACCACTCATATCAAGACTCAACGCTCGCAATACCGCCACACCTTGGCCCCCCACCCTCACCACTACCTTACGCATCCATCCCCTGATGCACTCCAAACCTTCACAAAAATAGACGACATGATACCCCAGTTTCTTCCCCACTGCATCTGCCAAAACCCCCCATCCTCAAAAACCCCTCCTGTCTGGGAGCATCGCTCCCGTTGGCAAAATCCCATGCAGGAAACGGTACATAACCTCACGCGCCCTGGGTCGTACCTTAATTTACTAAACCCTTCGCCATATTACATCCCATGCTACATGGGTAGATCCCTTCAACGGCGCCACTACATGTCTCTCTAACAATTTACACAAAATTCTACCTTTATTTTTTCCTGGTTCCCTGGCAAAACATTAAGGCACGTAACACTGTCTCGCATTCCTTCATTTCCGCCCCTCCAAAACCATTTCCTCAGGTGAGCAGTACCTTATCTAGCTGACCCTCCTCCATCCCCTGCACTCATCACTTCCCTTTTAAAATAAACACACATTTCACGCGCTTTCTCAATCCAACAAACCCAACCCTCCCCTACATACCGGCAATGTCACTACCTCCCTTCGCAACCAGTTGCACCCTGAACCCCCCAAAAATTTGAACCCCATTCTAAGAATACTCGTGATCGCCTTTCCTGTTAACGCATCACAGCCGAAACAAACCAGACTTTACTATATATTTAATACTTTGATGACAATTACACGCTGCCTAAGGGTTTAAATGGTGAGGTCGCAGCTTTCCCCAACCGTCGCTGCACCTGTTCCACCAACCCCTATTCGAATTGCTAACCCTTGCAGCACTCAGGTCAGCCTCTTTACATGACACCGCAGATTTTCAGACTCCCGGTCCCCCGCGCACAACATCACACCCCCACTCTAACTCTCTGTCCACTCTCCCAGCCCATGATCATTGACTTTTAGTTTTTACCTTCATTCCAGTAGCCCCCCCAAAATTGTGCACAACTTCCCCCAAAATTTCCCTAACCGTGTCTCCTCACTTGCCAAAATAGTGGTATCATCAACATAGCCACCAAACCAGGCACGGCTTCAGCTCACCCTCCCTCCCCCCGGCCTTAGACGATCCTCCACCATCCTATAAAAGGGATCCTGAACACATGCAAACAATATTTGCGATAAAGGACATCCCTCCCGAAGACCCCGCTCCATGTTGACCCCCCCCCCCACACACCCATTGATTTGCACCCTTACCTTCGCATTTGAGTACAGCGTATCCACCCACCCCACTTTTTCTTCACCAAACCCCTGTCGTAGGAGAATATCCCAAAGCCTTTCTTTCACCTATCATAAGCCCCTTGCCAATCCAACCCCAAACCAAACGCCCCTCTTTCCCTTTCCATGTCCTCCAGGAACCCCCTTGATAATCCCGTGGCCCACGTTCATTGCCCTACCAGGAAAACCCAAAAACTGAGACTCAAACACGACCCTCCCCACAACACATTTAGCCGATTCCCAAGAATTTTCGCAAATAATTTATAATCAGCACAAAGCAATGAAATGGCTCGATAATCCGAAGGGTACTCTGCTGTTTCCCCTTTTGGGACCAACACCACCACCGCCGTTCCCTGAGATTCCCCCATCTTTCCTCCGTCTTTCATGGCATTCTTTAAACCTTACCTAGGAAACCCCTAAGCAGACCCAGTGCTGTACATAAAATTCGCTAGGTAAACCATCGACCCCGGGGTTGCCTTCCCCTTCCTCAGGTCCATAAGGGCTCTCCATATTTCCCCCTCCTCAATGACCCCACCCAGTCCCTCCCGATCACTCCTCCCCAGTTTGCAAGGCACTACTCACATCCCTTTCCCCAAGAACTCCACCATCCACCCACTACTTTTCCCGTTTCCTCAAACCATCTATCCTGCATATGCACTCATCCCTTGGTGTCCCTTAATACCTGACCCTCTCTAAAACCCCCCACAGAAGATATGATTGCAAACCTGGTATTGTAGTCGTTCGCTGTCGTACCTTCTGTCTCGCAGCACACAAAGCTGATGGCTTGTCCCCCCGAGTACTTCGTCTAACCCGCCGTACCCGTACAGCTGCAAAAACTTTCTTCTTGCAATCCCGTATTCTGTCCTTCAACATGTGTATATCCTCCACCGGGTACACCCCGGCCACCGCCCCCCCCGTAAAAATTCCGTAATCTAGATTCTAAGAAATTTGACAAGCCCATACCTCAATTGATTAATGCGTTGCCCTCCCTAAATAAAATGACGTATTCGTAACTTAGCACACTATCCCACCATCCTACCACGTCTTCCTCTGTTCTTCTGTCGGCACAGAGCTGTCCCAAAATTTTGCAAACGCTTCCACTCCTCCCTATCCCCCAAAACCATCGTGTTCATTTTTCCAATAACTTCCCTGCCCCCGGCCAAAGCACCCCATCCCACCTCCACTAATACCGCCCTATGATCGGAAGACACCATTTCTATATTTTTTAAAAGACTCAAACCAAAAAACCCCCGAGATAAAATAACCTGTCCAAACGACCCGCATATCCCCCTTATAAACGTATGTTCCACCTCCCCACAGGCCTCCCCCGAATGCATCACGTAACTGAAGATCTCTAAGCAGGCCCCCCAAGACTGAGGAAAAAATCCCGCTCCTCTGGGTTCCACGTCTGTCTTTTTATTACACAATTCCAATCCCCCCCCACAATCGCGACAGAGGGGTAACGTGCGTAGGTATACCACTCCTCCTGCACAAAATCCATCTTCACTTTCACGTCACTTTCTGCGGGGGCATACACACACACAAACGCCCTCTCTCTCCCTTTCCACCATCCTTCCACACGTAATACTCTCCCCCTCCCCCCCCCCTTTCCTATGCAATACAAACGGGCCCGCCCCCCGATCAAACACCCACCCTCCTTTTAAACGCTCAGACGGCAAACATAAGCCTGAACCCAGGGACCACTAATTCCGACCAAGCTTAAAATTGTGCTCCTGCACAAAAGCTACGTCAACCTTATACCTATTCAAAAACATCCGAAGCACTCCCGTTTAACACCATCACACAGACCATTAATATTTATTGTTACCACACCTGAGGCCAGCTTAAGGTTTCTTCCCGGGCCCCATGTCAAGATTCTTCCCTTTCAGACTGTTCCCTCGGACTGTGCCTTTGCCACATTTTTCCCCCTCCTTCCCAACCATCCCCCCCCCCTTCTGTTGTTGGCCCTCTCGCAGAGTCACTCTGGGCACCAGAACCCCATGTCTTTTTCCCCGGCTTTGGCCGTGTCAGAACATCGTCCGAATCTGACGCTGCTGCCCTTTTCCTTGTAGTCCCTCAGTTTCCATATCTGAGTCCTGGAGCCAGCACAATGACTTCCACCTCTACCACCCCTTAATCCCCCTTCATGCCCCTCCATGGCACTCGCACTGTCCACCACAGGTGCCAAACCCGCTCCTCCCCTTCCCACACACACCTTCTCCTGATCCCAGGTCTTGTTCGCTGTAACTCTCCCCTCCGTAGACTGTAACATAGCCTGTATCACCGTCTCCAACTCCCCCTCAATAGCCTTCCCCTGCTGCGCCCTTTTACCCCCTCACTTGACAACTGTACTGTTGTTTGGGGCCCGGTGATTCATGGATCACCACTTCTTCCGAATCCCCAGGAGGAGCCACCCCACTTCACTCCACATGCGACCACGCCCTCCCCTTGCACCCGTTCTTCTTTAGGCATGGGTGCTCATGCTCAGGTGCTCCGCCCCCTTTCCGGCCCAGGAGCCACTGTTGAGGGCCAGGTGAGTCATGGATCACCACTTCTGCCGATTTCCCCTGGAGGAGCCACTACCTCTTCACTCCACATGCGACCCCGGGCCCCCCTCCTTTCCCCCGTTCTTCCTTAGGGATTGGGTGCTCATGCGCAGGTGCTCCGCCCCTTGCCGGCCCAGGAGCCATACTCCGCTTGCCACAGTCTTGGGCCCCCATATGGTCAAATTCGCCACACAGTCGGCACGTACGCCTCTGCCCCGCATACGCTACCATTACCTGGGTTCTAAACTCTTCGAGATATACATACGAGGGTATAGGGTGCCTAAGCGTCATCTTGAGATTAAAAGAACCCCCAGGAAATCCGTGTAAGCACTTTTACCCATTTGCCAGGTTGGGCCAGATGTACAGTTCCATAACGTTCGGGAAAAAATTTTTGAATATCTACCTCATCAGCCTCAAAAGCACGTTGCGAAGCTTAACCCACGAATAATGTCGTGAGACATCAATCAACTTGACCCTCACTGCCGGTGTTACAGTAATGCGACATCTTGGTAACGATCAACCAAAACCTCGTATACTTGAGCAGTTAGCACTTTTACGAAAAATTCGATATACACCGTTCAGTGCCACTCCATATAATCCTCGTCTCTGATGCCATATGTCTCTCGTATAATTTTGGGCAATAACACATCGACTGACGTAAGTGTTAAAGCCCCACTAATAAGTTCAATGCCCACAGTATTCACTCTCCTGCGAATACCTGGCGCCATGTCGTTGACTGATTAGCTCTTCTGGGAAACAGTAGAGGGGTGCAAAGCACGTCCGCACTCTACCTCATCCAGACAGCGAATGCACAACACCTCCTCGTACCACTGCTGTCAGGTTACTGAGGAGCGTCAGGCAAGGGGTCTGCACGGCCCAATAGCGATGCAGACAATAAGCAACATAATTGTCAGACGTAAGTCTTAATAATTTTTTTTTTTTTTTTTTTTTTTTTTTTTTTTTTTTTTTTTTTTTTTTTTAAACTTAAAATTTGCATAGTGTATCCTAAACCTAACGTCCTGTCTTCCAGATCCAGTACCATGGATCTGGACTAGTGGAAACAAACTAGGGTCTTCCTCCTGGCAGTGGTACCCTGGACGTCCTCTAGTCTACAACAACTGGTCTTTCACTGGCGGGTCTGTGTAACCCTTGTGGGTTTTAAGTTTTGTTCCCGTAATTAGATTTTTTTTTTTTCACTTTGATATTTTTTTAAGTATAAAGTCTAAAGTTTTCTTTCTAGGCTTGGCCGACCACAGCCAGATAACCGCGAGGGTAATGAAGACTGCCTTGGTGTGTTGAAAAATACTTACAATGATGGAATCGCATGGCACGACATCACTTGCTACCATAAGAAACCAGTTATCTGCGAAACTAGCATTCAAATTTAAAATTTTAAAGTAATAAAGAATTGATGGTTATATTCGTATAACTACCCTTCTAAATTTATTACATACTCTACAATAAGCTTAGTGAGGTCTACCCAAGATGACCTGATTTACACCTTGACCGCCTCCACCAAGGCAGGGTGGCCCCAATGAAAGTAACCATTCATTCACTCTATCAATGTTATCAAGTGATTACACTAGTTATGAAACTGCAACATTAACACCCATCACTTGGAAGTGCAGACACTACTTCCAACCCACTCCAACCATTTATCTCACGCACTTGCCGAGTCAAAGCCCCTCCCACAAAACTTCTATTATAGGGAAGGCGGGGGTAGATCTACAGTAATTTACTTAGTTCCATCCTCTGCCCAAACTCTTGATAAGTTTTGGTAATTTTTTTATTTTATTTAAAACTCGTACAAAAAAATATATGGGTACATAATCAATATGTAACAAGATACAAGCAGTAACACTATAATCTGCAGTGACTACAGAAATACCAAAGCACTGATCTAATGACAGCATGATTGGCTGCTGCACTCCAATCAAACACTACTTTTATGTACTGTGCTTCACGTGAAAAGATGGTCTTGTAATAAAAACGATAGTCCTACCTAGTAATGCTTACTCCCCCCCCCCCCTTGAAAAACATACCACTTTCACCCGAGTATACTCATTGACATCTTACATTTATTAGAGCATTAAGGACATTGACAACATGTATAAACACAATCCAGCCATCTAAAAGGCTGACTATAATACAAGAAAAGTCTGAAACATGATGGCACACATCCACCAAAGAAACCAATCCACACCCTAACCCTCATACCCCATGATAACAGTATCGTGCACGGTGGTGGATTTAATACACTACCGCTGACTCTTCACCCCCCCCCCCCCCACATGCCTAGTAACTGTCTGCCGTCACCACTCATAACCTCCATCAGTCATTGAATTTAAAAATACATTAAAGTACAATAACAAAGGAATATGAGAACCCCTTATCGTCTCCGCCACAGAAAAATAAAATTGTTACATTTTCTAAATACATCCTGCTGATTCATCTTTGCTTACAAAATATCCCCCATCCCCTATGCTTTTTATCTCTTTACTCCAAAGCTAAAAACCAGATTATACATTTCATCAAATTATATTACAATAAGCATATCAATACTTATCAGACTAATAGGTGTACATTATCACCCTGAGTTCCACGAAATTTACATAAGAATTAATACATATATTGACAATCTTCAGTCCTTCCCGTCTTCTAAATAGTGTCCATATATCCAATGACATTTCGTTATGATCCAGTCATTTACTTTTCCCCTTTTCCCCAGTGCAAGATAAATGCCACTTGCATTAGACGTCACAACACCTTACATTTGTTCACTTAAAACGTATAAAATGAGAACTAACAAATAACTCTACAATATATAGATAGTTATTTGACAAAGTGAAGAATACCAACTATGGTAACAGTACACTAGAAATTGTAACTCGCTCACTAATACATATTCCCATTTTTGTATTATGTTCAACAAGATATATTTTTAACAATGTTCCAGAGCAATATCAGACTTACTGTCACGCACTAAGTTACACAATATAACTTATTAGGAGCCATGAAACATGTACTGGGCAGTACTACCTCAATCATTAACAAAACCAACCTGGCAAAAGACTTCAGAAAGCCACCCCTTGCCATCTGTATTAAAAAAAAAAAAACTCGCGTTCCCTTCCATGCTCAAGTTCGTACCTGACGTCGAAAGTCGTAAAACCCCTGTCTCTTAACCAAATGTCACCAGTTCCCACCCCCCCCCCCTCATTCCTAACGACTTTACACCCATATGCTCCACTACCACACTTATTCCACCTTTCCATCCTCCATTAATCTCAAAAAAGAAATACCAGTTTAGGGAGAACCAGCCAAATCCAGCTCTAAACTAGACCCAACACTAACATTACACCTACCGAAAAATTCCCATAAAAAAAACATTTCCAACCCCCTTGGCCTTTTCTGATCTTGAAAAGTCCCCAACCCCCCCCTTTTTTCCCCCCATTGATCACCCCTGTTCACGCCCTCCAATGCCTTGGCCCCTCCCAAAAAATAAACCCAAAATTTTCCCCCCCCCCCCCGCCACTTCCCAAATTCTTAACCATGCCTTTTCCCCCAAATTTTAAAAAATTTCATGAAACCTCTCCCCACTAAAACCCCCTCCTCCCAAAACCTAATATTTGCACTACCTTGTACTGTTCCAAAAAGTTTAAACCCCCCCCCCCCCCCCCCCCCCCCCCCCCCCAACCCCCCCCCCCCCAACAACTTTAAAACACCCCTTCATTCCTGAATTCTCCAACCTCTCCCCCTATTTTTTTTCCAGCCCCACTTTAACTTACACCCAATGTTCCCCCTTTCCCCCAAACCACCCCTTAAAGCCCTCCCCATCCCCTCCACCCTTCCCCCTCCCCCCCCAATTCGCTCTTCCTAACCCTTCCTTGGAATATGACCCCCCCCCCGCCGCCTTACCCCCACCCCCCACCACCCCAAACCCCAATCCTTAAAAAAACCCTTCCGTTCCAATACCCGCCTCGGGGGGAATTTTTCGCCCCCCCCCAATTTTACTGTACCAAAGGGGTTTTTTCCCCCCCTCGGGCGCAAAGGAAACCCCAGCCCCCACCCCCAACCCCCCGCTCCCGTTTTGGTTTTCCCGGGGGCCCCCCGGGGCCCCATTCCAAACCCCCCTTTTTTTCTCGTTTCGCCCAAACCCCCCCCCCCCCAAGTCTTTTAATGCTTTGATTTTGCTCCTTTCCCCTCACCTGCGCCCCACCAAAAATCTCATTATACGTCCCACTTCCCCAATCCTATTTCCCTCCTCCCAAAACTTGGTGTATCCACATACCCCACAATACCACTCTCCCAGGACCCACTCTCCCTACCCCACACCCCTTTCCTCTAAAGCCTATAAAAGGGGGCCCGCATCAGAAAAAGGGGTTTTTGAGAAGGGGCAACCTGTCCAAACCCATCCCCTCTGCAGGGCAACCCTAATTCCCCTTTAAAACCTGTACCCTGACCTTTTGCAGGGTTAAAAAGTAGTCGCCCAGCGCACAATCTCATCACAAAAACCCTTTTTTTTTTTAAAATACACAACAAGTTATCATCTGTATAACCCTGTTCCAATCAATCCCAAGACCCCCCCCCCTTTTTTCCCCTCCACAAAACCCTTAATTCTTCTGCCCTCCCTACTTCGACGGGAAATCCCACATGCCCTCTATGTAGGATCGGTCAAGCCCTTTTTCATAGGGTTTCCCTAAAACCTTCGCAAAAACTTTAAAATCTCAACATGAGGGGATCCCCCTAAAAGCCCCCAAATTTCTTCCCCCCCCTCCCTTATAGACCAAAACTACTACCCCGTGCCCGCGATTCCCCAACACCCCCTTTCCTTCATCAATCCCAATGTGTATATGAAATTTTTGGAATTCCATCAAGCCCGGGCCCTTTTTCCCCTACTCAAGCCATTTGCCTCCCCCCCTAAAAAACCCCGAATTCCTTTTCCAAATTCCCCCTCCCTCCCCGCTTTAAAAATTTTCCCTAAGCCAAAAATCGCATAATTGCCATTCCCTGGGGGTTCTAAGTCCTCCCCCACCCCTTTCACATCTTAATCCCCTAATCGTGGTTCTGTTGCCTATTCCTAAATCCCTCCATCTGACGGTTTGTCACCCCATAGAACTCCTCTAAACCCTTTCCCCCACACATATCGCATCAAAAAGAGAATTTTTTTAACCCCAAACTTCCCTTAAAACCTCTATTTCCCAGTCTAGCCCCCCCCCCCCTTAAAACAATCATTTAGTGCCCCCCAAAAAATTTTTGTAAACCATACCTCCACCTTGCCCCCTCCCTTTTCCCCTATGCTGGAAATATCCCTAATCTGCAATTTAGCGTGCTTCTCCCACCCTTTCCCAAAAATCCTCCCCTTTTGTTTTGAGCCTCCCTAGTGCTTCCCCATTCCCCAAAAAACAACCCCCCCCTCTCCCTGAAATAGCCTCAATTTTTCCAAAACCCCCATATAGAACCATCCCCCCTCTGCCAAAACGGGACGAAAGGGGGGAAAAACCTAATCTTTTGTCATTACACGTTTACGTTATATTGGTTATATAATAGATCCAACCTGGCGCATAACCCTCCGCATAAAAGTGGCTCTACTTTTCCCCCCACGCCCCCGAGTCTAACCCCCCCATCCCCAATATCAAGCACACACCTGCCCCCTCGCCCACATCCCCTTTTTCCTATTACAAATTCCCCTCCCCCCTATTATAGGGAAACCCCTTGGTAAACCCCACATTGAAAAAACAAAACCTCCCCCTTTCAAATTCCCTTCCCTATGTTACTATCGCCCCGGGATATAACCCAAAAAAATACTTAAAAACCACCCAATCCCTTCCCCCCTCCCCCCCCTTTCCCACTTGACCCGTGGAATGGGCTGGACTCCCTCACTGCCATGCCCCCCCCACCCCTTTTAATTTTTCCCTTAAATCCAAATACATCCTAAAAAACCCCCTTCGCCTCACTCTTGCCATACTTTTAAATTGTGTTTTTTGAATAAAACACATCAATTTAAAACGCCCAAAACATCTAACCATACTCGTTTACCCTCAGCTCTAAAGGGCCATTCACGTTTTTTCGTTTGACACTTAAAAATTCAGAAAGGGTGGCTTTCCTCTTGTCTGTGTCCTGTCTGTTCCACTTTTTTCTCTTTGTCTTTTTCCCCTGCATTTTCCCCCTGTCCCCCTCCCCCCCTGTGCACTACCCTGCCCCTTCTTAATCACTCTGCCCCGTTTCTTCCTGTACGCTGAGTGGTTTTTAACCTCACGAAGCCCACCCTCAAATTTCCCTATCAGATTTCCATTGCCCTTGGCACCCCAGCTTCCCCCTGTAGCAAGCAAAAAGCCCGGCTCTGGGAAATTTAACAACCTTCCAACCCAAGAATTTCCCGTCTGAGTGGCCCCCCGGCCCTCCAGGAAAAGACTTTAAA